TTCAATTTCTATGTAGCAACATTCAAGCCGCGCCTGCATATGGAGTATATATCTACCAGTTGATACGATATGCCAGGGCTTGCGATTTCTATCATGATTTTCATGATAGAGGGTTGCTACTCACAAGGAAGTTTTTAAACAAAGAGTTCTTAGTGGTTAAGTTGAAATCATCCCTTCGAAAATTTTCGAGTTGGTTGACCGTTATGGAATATATATTTCTCAGATGATGATGGGTATGTTCCAATCGTCGTAATCACAATCCCGTCCTCCTTTTCCCCGAATGGACCTACCGAATTAGACTTGTCACCTGTTTTGTACTTATATCAGCAACACGAAGGGTGCCACGTGTGGAACAGGATCGGCTCACCCTTCCAAGGCACCTGAAATCAACCCAGGTTTTTGGTGGGGTTCGTGTGGCTCAGTATTAAGTTTTCTATATTGAGTTTTGTATACTGTTGTTTGTGTTTTGGTCTTTTTCTTTTTTTATCCCTTCGGTATCCATCGCCTCTCTTTTACAAAAAGACAAAAGACACAAAGCACCAATATAAGCCGTACTCAGACACGTTTACTGAAAGCTAGTTCAAAGCCAATTACAACTTGCATATAAATCCTTCACTAAAATATTAATCAGTATACATCCATTGGTTTAGTTTAAAGACATCATAAAGTGTCCGAGAAAAACAAGACCTTAAGTTTTTTAGAATGCCAAAATATAAGTATTGACAGGTTGTAAGACCCTAAGTGTTTATAACTGTATAATAATAAATATGTAGTTATTATTTAATCTATTATAACAAAATCTATATTAGTACCGATAAATGAAATGTTCAAAGATTTATCATATTTGTTAAAGTGTTAAACAGGTTACCTTTATTAAAAGGAGCGATACGATTACATGGATCGTGTTTCGATTTACCTGCTCTATAAACAGCATCACGGTAAATATGCAGATGCAGTATACCATTTGTAGTATATTTTCTACAGGAAGAGCCAAACTTCCAAACCAAATCTTTGTATTTATGAAATAATCTAGTATTTTTTTTTTTTAGTTTATTCAAGTAACGAAATCCCTGACTTAACAATTTACCAGTGATATACCAGTGACATAGATTACGTTTATTGGACTGACGTCACTACAGTCACTGTCATACATGTAGAGAACAAGTTGGGATATACAAACACCGTAAGAACGTCACCGTCCGATAAAAGGAAACTCAAGCGTTAAGAACGAAAATTCGTCCTGTTTGTCGTAAATTTTAGTAGAGTTTTCTGTGTGAAACTGAAATTATAAAACTAGGAAAGGACTTCTTTTAATGTTTATGTTAGATTTATTTAGAGTAATTTTCCCCCGTATATTTGAAGAATTCTTAATTATTGAACGCAAACATATCATTAAAGTAACGGTAAATGTTGTTGAACCTATCAATTAACAGGAATTTATAATAATCGTTACTGAGTTTTACCATAAACTGTGATTCCAAAAAATACAGGAACAAGTCTGCTATTCAAAGGGCGAAATTGCGGCGCATAGGAATAAACCAACTGTCGATAAACCGAATTTTCGAAACGTACAGAGATGAGGTCAAGGAGAACATTTACAAATGTAATCATCTTATCACACTTTCAGTAAGTATATCTAGCATATTTCCTCATTCATTACAGAATAAGTCTTTATATGAGTTGCAGCAAATACATTTGCAATCAGATTTTTACCATTTAATAGATTAAAGATTATGTTGAAGTGTAATTTAGAGAGTCAAAAGGTCTTAACTGTCAAACAAATTAAAAATACCACCATTAGCACGTAGCTCATATAAAACATACAAGATTAAGATATTTCATTTTTTTCACGGGAAACTCTACATTAAATTTACGACAAAAGGAACGATTTTTCGTTCCCTATTGTTAATTTTCCTTTTTTGGACGGTGATGTTCCTTTGGCACCACCTTACGGTGTTTACATATCACAACTCGTTCGCAATGCCCGTGTCTGTTATGACGTTTTGGATTTCAATGAACGTAATCTATGTATTACTGGTAAATTATTAAGTCAGGTATTTCGTTATCACAAATTACTTAAAACCTTTACTAGATTCTTTTCATAGATATAAAGATTTGGTTTGGAAGTTTGGTTTTACCTGTAGAAAACTTATTTTTAACGGGATAGCACATCCTAAATTTTACGGTGATGCTGTTTACCGAGCCCGGAAATTAAGATACGATCCGGGTAAACTTATCGATCCTTTAAATAACGTATTCTTAAAGCATGTAAAGGTTACCAATTCAACACTATAATTAGATCTTTGAATATTGTTTTTATTGGTATTAATATTGATTTTGTTATCAGTAAATTAAAATCGAACTAAATATTATTTTTATATACATATGCACATTCATGGCTCTACAATCTGTGGATACCTTTATCTCGGCATTGCACAAGGTCATGTTTTTCTCTGACTGTTAATGACGTCTTTCCACTAAATTTATTGGATGTTGGATGTGTACTGATTGGTATTTTAGTCTAAGATGCATGCTTTTTTTATTAGATGTTATTGGCTTTGAACTAGCTGTCAGTAACTGCGAGTACTCTCATATCTGTACTTAGTGTCTTTTTATTTTAGGGATGTATAAGTACCCTGCCACGTCCATTCGGTGTTTTTGTTAGACATATTTATGCTTTGTATAAACATGATGAGTTAAGCCCTTTCCAACTGATTTTTATAGTTTGTTCTTATGTTGTACTGTTACACCACTGTCCAAAGTTAGCGGGAGGGTTGGCGCTCCTTCAAACTAGTTTAACCCCGCCACATTCTGTATGTGCCTGTCCCAAGTCAGGAGCCTGTACTTCAGTGGTTGTCGTTTGTTGCTGTATATTATATTTGTTTTTCTTTATTATTTTGTACATAAATCAGGCCGTTAGTTTTCTCGTTTGAATTGTTTTACATTTCTCATTTCGGGGCCTTTTATAGCTGACTATGCAGTATGGGTTTTACTCATTGTTGAAGGCCGTACAGTGACCTAGAGTTGTTAATTTCTGTGTCATTTGGTCTCTTGTGGAGAGTTTTCTCATTGACAATCATACCACATCTTCTTATTTTTATAAAAAATGTTTTACACTCCAAACATTTCAATTTTTTTATTTGCCGTGGACGGTGCCAAACATTCGCTCAGGTGATCTAAATATAATTGTGTACTAAATACATATATACAAGTAGAGCAAAATTATTGATTTATGTATAGTATAACATTGTTAGCTACTCATATTTTAATTTTGTATGGTAAATTTCTCACTTTGTAATATTAAGTTTAAGTAAATTTTACTTGCTATCAATGGGTTTTGTGTGGTTTTGACAGGATACCAACTGGCAATTTAATATTTTATGGAGATTATTCAGAGAAGAGGTCAATTCACGAGTTTAATCATATATGCATTTTTTTTTATTTCTAGTATTGCTATTTACAGCTGTGAACAGTAGTATAAAAAACAAATATTGACACATTTGCATGTGATGACTACAACACTTGTCATTCAATGGTTACAACTATAAAGAAGCAATGTACGGTGTCAGTCAAATAAGGAATTATATTTATCTTTAATTACCGATTAGTTGCCCTGTATACTTTCTGTCTGGCTATTGTTCTTTTCAAGTTTACAAGGCAACTTAAATGAGTCATAGATAAAGAAATAATTAATGGCAGCAGCCGTAGCTTTGTTTTCCTTTAACCATGGGTTGGGCATTTATATTCATTCATTTTATCTCGAGCGAATGTTTATTTATTATTAAATAATTATGAAAGCGCCTGTATTTTTCAAGTTTATGTTTTGCCTATTGTCACATATTTGAAAAATTGCAATTAAAGCCCTTTATAAGTATTCAATTAACGATTGGTATTTTGGTGTTCATGCTCTGAGTCATTTTTTTTCGTATAACTACGAACTTGATCAAACATAATCATGTCAATACGATTTGACACCTGTTAGCATGGTTAGATTGAACATAAGATATTTTATAGATCCTGAAAGAGTTTTACCGCTCTGCCTCTGATCTTCCTAATTTGCCTCTGATCTTCTTAGTGTGTTCATTTGCACTCAACAGTTAAAAACATGCCATGCATTTCTATAATAACATTTATAAGCCATAGGTTTTGTTGTTTTTACAGTTTAAAGCGACAATTTCGGAAATTGGTGAACAGGATCATAGTGCCTCCTACTAAAGTAAGGTAGCACAAAAATGACTATATGCACTTTTATATAAAAGATGACTGATAATTGAGTGGGCCAAAATCTCCGCTTAATAAGTGTTGTTAAAGACCATGAGCATGTTAATGAGGCAATGTAAAAGGCATGTTTTGTTGGCCCTTACGTTTTTAACATAATGTACTGCTGAACAGTAATCAATAAATTCCATTCTCAATTTTAAAATTTAAAAGGCATAATATTTACAAATTCATTACAAAAAAGAAATAGTTGTAGAGTTTAGTTTTAAACATCCTTTCATTTTCTTTTGATTCGATATTTTAATGTTTATATACACTTTGACTTTCTCATCTTTTCCCCCAGCTTTTCTGATGAAAGAGCTGAGAATAATAACAGTATTTTGTTATCAGGTTAAATTTGAACACATTTCGAAATTGTTGAAAAAGGACTATAATGGTTGCATACTTTACCTGTTATTAAATTGTAGCATGTCCTGAAAGGACTGCATTCATAGACGCCATAGAACACGAATTTGTAGATGCAAATATGTGAACTGATCATTTCTAGGAAAGGAAAAAGACAATATTAGACATTTCCGTTAACGATGAAAGGATGAGATGTTTTCAATTATCTAAAAAGGATGTGTTTCTGTCTGATAACATTCCTAGAAAAAGAATAGAAACCGTAACCTATTCTCATCATTTTATTTCCTTGTTATAACTGAAATTGTTACTGATTGTCATTTATTTAAATTTAGCTTGAAAGAAAAGCTTAATCAAACGAAAAAACAATTATTTAATAATAATGTTTGAAAAAAAAATCTTTACGTCACCAAATGACATACAGGTACCAGTTCAATGGCATATTTTCAAATTGAGAATGATAATAAACATTTGTTACCATTATCTAAAGCATTGACAGCAAGTAAATCGAGTGAAAAGCTGGCACTACAAAAAAAAAGTAAAATAACAAAAATACAGAACTCCAAGAACAATTCAAATCGGAAAGTCCCTTATCAAATGCCAAAATCAAAAGCTCAAACACATCAAACGAATGGAAAACAACTGTCATATTCCTGACTTGGTACAGGTATTTCCTTATGTAGAAAATGGTAGATTAAACCTGGTTAATAGGTAAAAATATAAAAAATAGGGGTACAGCAGTCAACATTGTGTTATAATCTTAATCACTATAAAAACAAACAAATGTGTCAACAAAGTAAAACAAAAAGACATATACAAAAAACACATAAGCAAAAATGAAAGTCAACAATACAAAAATTTACCATAGTACGATAACACAATGCCGGGATGTATAAGTACCGAGACACGCCAAAGGGATATTACCAAAAATGGACAGTAAAGGTAATAATTTGCAAAGACAAATAAAAGAACACTAATACATGTAATTAAGATGATAAATATCGTCAGTACCTAGAATCTAAACTTCAAGACCATCATGTATTGTTTGTGAAGTTGATACTGAATATTTCTCAACAAGGTCTAAGTATCTTCTGATGAACTGTTTTTAGAAAAAGGACTAGACGTTCTTTTACATAATCCTGGTACATTCTGCTCAGACACTGGTGACGTTTTATAAAGTCTGAGTAGCAGCTGCAAGCTCTTGAATACCGAATGAGTTGGGAAATGTATATCCCATATGCAGGTGAAGTTGTTATATTGCTACTAAGGTCGGGGAAATTAGTAATTTAAAATAAAAATCGTTTGTCATAGATTCTGGTACTGAGATGACTGCTTATGTCAAATTCGAGGTATAAGTCTACAAATGAGACAGAGGAAGCCGTGGTTGTTGTTTATTTAATTTCTAGGTCTGAAGGATATATTAATGGAACCCAATCAGAAAAGTTTGGATTGATAATGAAAAGAACATCATCAATTTATCTGAATGTGAAATTAAATGATGTGGCTTCTTCTTTAATCTTCTTGCTTTTGACAAGTGTCTGACGGAACTCGTACTCAGAAAATAAGAAGAGGTTGGCAAGGAGAGGCGCACAGTTCGTACCCATAGGACTGCCGACAATTTGTTGAAAAAGTCCACCTCCAAATTCAGCAAATATGTTGTCAATAATATAACCAACAGATAACCCCTAAATAACACATTAATGAATAGCCACCAAACTGAGTCACATGGAACTTATATTTCAAGAGAGTGCATCCATCCTCACAAAACTTTAGAGAAGTTCCCGGAATCCTGCAGGCTAACAAATAATTCCAGAACACTTGTCAAAAACTTAAAAAAAAATCAAATAGCTTTCTTCTAGAAACTCTAATTCAAGATTGAAATGAGAGTCTGAATGCTTCGTTGATTGAATGATTGGCGGAAAAGATTCTTAAAACAGTGCAGTGCTTAGTATTTCAATTTATGTTCTTGTTGTTTGGTCGTAATAATCCTCCGTTTTCTGACCGAACACATGATCATAGGTCTCCTCTTTTCTATCTTGTTTCATGTGTTGTTCAGCAGAATCATACACGGTATCGACAGTACGGCTATACATGTCTGTTTCGTTAACAACATGCCTTCTTTCATTTGTCTTGTCATATACTCCTTCCTCAGATAGGGCATACGGGGATTCTGTGTCTTTGGATGGGTGACTATAATCTTGGCCGTCTTCGGTCTTTATCGAGTCTGTGTTGCGGTTCGGAACCTGGCTATACAGTACCTTGTTGTTGGTTGGATACTGAGGGAGTGCTATATCTTGCTGACCTAAATAGTTTTCATCTGTTGTGTTATTCATGAAGTTTGCGAATTTTTTATCCGAATTCTCACGTATACATCTGTAGGTAGAGGAAATGTTTTCAGTTATACTAGATGGATGTTTTTTTTATTATTTAGTTTATTATAAAGGAAAGTGATGAATATTCACGTGGGACCTTATACAAAATAATTCTCGCATTTCGTCTACAAAAGTATCATCATTGACGCTCGAAATGAAAAAAATTAATAGGCCAAATAAATTACCAAGATGAAGCGAAATAATTACCAAGAACAATGCCGAAGGGTTTTGACAAATATAGCTAGGGTAATCTATTATTTCAGGAATTTAAAATTTCAGTTAATTATGATTGGGACATAATAACATGAATACATGTATGCTGTTCATTCAATGGAACTTAATTTCTGTAAGATAACGTTATGTTGTTGATTTTAACAAAATGTCAACAGGTTAAATCACTACGATTTGACTTACGACTGCCTGTTAACACTCGTAAGGTTACGATTAAACTTACGATAAAATTCTATTTACGATTGTTTATGAAACGGTCAAAACTTACGATTTGATGTACGACCGACGTAAAATCTAAGATTGTCGTACGATTTTTTGTGAAACGATGGCCAGGTGTATAGAATTCCTAGTTTGTCGAACAATTCAAAGCTTTGTAAACAGTTCATTTATAAATATGACCATGCAAATGACATTTCATGTCAACAATGGACATTGAAATATAAACAGATACAATGCACCAGCTATGGTACTTTCCAATAGCGATCATGGTTACAACGAAACATATTTACTGGTTAATTTGAGAGGTAAAAACATGCATGTTTGTCCCCGTACCGACAATATACAATTGAAAACAAAATGATTCGATACTTTTAATAGAATATTTTTAAACTTATTGTTTTATGGTAGTTCGAAATATCACACTTGAGATTACGCGACCCTTTTATGTGTAGTGCCAAATGAACTTCAAGGTTACCAATACTAATTTCTAACATTTTTATATCATACCTTCGTCTGATGAGCACGACGGCAACGATAATGCAGATCATACCAATTATACCAACCGGTACACCTACAGCAACTCCTGGAAACATAGAAAGAAAATATATTGCTCTTTTATCTGCTTATATGTTTAATTTCAAGACTTGTTATTATTGATTTAAAAATCAATTAAAACGTGAATATACATGTCCAATGGGATAATAAGTTTTTAACTCAGAAACTTTTATTCATCTTTGAGTGATATTGTATCGACGAACGAAATCATAAACGAATTGATTTCTTTAACTTTCGTAGGGATTTGGGAAGTTATTATCGATTTTGATCATCTAGCATTACGACAGATGTAGCTTGTAACTTCTGGAGCATTTGATATTACTCGTGGATTTAGTACGATTTTGAATTCATTTCGAACTGTTCTTCGAAATTACAAAACGAAATTCTTAAGTTGAACATAAAATCAAAAATTAATTCAGAATCAAAATATTTACTCACTTTAACTAACACTCACTTGAACTTGAAGTTTATATCTCGAAATAGAATGTTATCTCGTTAGTAGTAAACGTTTAATAATGTAGTGTAACGCATACCTAAGGTTGGAAATCCTGATTTTACTAAGGTCAATTTATTTGAAGGATTCGTAACACATTCCCCTGGTTTGCCGGTACCAATGAAAAAAAACCAATATAGTGCTAATCTACATGCAAAGGTTAAATGTCCGAGAATAGTTGGAATATATAATTATAGCAATACGACGGATTTATTGAGGGGCGCTTAAGATGCAATGACAAATATCACATGCATGATAGATACATTGGGGACTATATAACTTGTATGCGATATGAATATGCACGGCTATGTGATAGAACGAAATGTATAATAAGATTATTTATGTGCATGGAACAGTAAGAATACCAAACTAAACTTGTGAAACTGCTTTTATAAACGGATCGAACGCTACAGTGTAAGGAGACACTCAAAATTCATAAGTTGAAGAGAATTTGGCAACAATATGGAAAAAACAATTATTTCAACGAAAAGATAAATAAGTCCACAAAACACATAGAAAACAAAATAAAGACTAAGCAACAGGAAACCCACAAATGATTAGGCATAATCTATGTTATTTCGGAAGTCTATGGGCAGATAATGTTCTACTAGTGACACCTGTCATGTCGCTCATGATTTTTAGCTCCTTATATAGATGAATTAAAAAAATCAATTTGCCCACGTGACTTTATTTTTTTTATTGACTTCTTAGTCGAAACAAGTGCTGGTTAACTATTATTGTAGAGATATAACCACCTTACATTCAATATTGGCACTGGTTATTATAAATTTATATACATTTTCTTATTCAGTGAATAAACATTTTGTACCTTGACAGCATATGGCACCAGCTACTGTAGTTCTATTACAACCGTTTTCTTCCTTTGTATTATTGCATGCTAACAAACTAGATTCATGTCCACCACAATGCAGGGAATAAGGACGAATCTGCATATCAAACAATTTATCAACGGTTGTAGCATTTCCTGTCCATGTTTTGTTTAGATATCTACAGATTACTGCAGCATCATAATCATCCCATCCAAAACTACATAGGTACAGCTTTCGGTTGAGCGAATGTTGGTAAATTTCTACTCGGTGATTATCATCAAGTCTCAGTACAGTCTGTTTGTCACCTGAGATATAACCAACAAAAACCAGGGTTAAATATCTAGACACTTTTTCATTTCATATATATGTTTAAAAACCTCAACAAACGTTATCAAATACCTCCAAATTGTTCCAACAAACAATATTTTCAATACTTCTAAATGGTTCCATAATACAATCTTTCAAACAATTTGTAAAATCTTTCAGAATTGTGTATGCTTTGATGCGTCATATTATTTGTCATAGTGTTAACAACAATGCGCGTATTCGTACAAACAGTTTATTCTTTCCTTGCTGTCAAAAACATGTATATACCATTCTACCGGTTTCCATACCTACGTCTTTACCAATCAGCCCTTTTGTGACTTGCATATTACGTATACATGTATGTACATAATGTTTGAATGTTATATTATATTTATTGTGATTTACATAATTATGATTGATTTGTTTTTTGTTTGTTATTTGCTGCTGTTTTGTTTATTTATACTGCTTTACGGAAGATATACTAGGCGCTGCGGACGCATGAAATTCATAACGTGTTGTTTTCAGTTTTTATAGCACTGGGTCGATACCTCTGCTGGTGGACTATCAGTCCCCGAGGGTATCGTCAACTCAGTAGTCAGTACTTCGGAACTGATATGATTTATAACAAACCTTTCTTAAATTTGTCCGTTTATACATTTTGAAATTATAAAGAAACTAAGGTTTCAACTCCTTCAAGCAAAATTGACCTTAGCTGGATTTGGCTATTTTGATAAGGTCCTATTTGGTCAAATAGCTCTTCAACTGTTTCGGTTCTTAAACATTTTTGGCTTTCAAATATGCGGCTTTAAGCGTTCCTGGTGAAGATAAATTCAAAAAGTGCTTGGGACGCATGCAGTTTATAACATAATGTTTTCAGTTTTTACATCACTGGGTCGATATCTCTGCTGGTGGCTATCAGTCCCCGGGTTATCAGCTCGGTAGTCAGTACTTCGGAACTGACATGATTTATAACAATCCTTTCTAAAATGAAAAAAATGAAAGTAACACGTTATAGATTTCATACGGTTTGAAATCTATAACGTGTTGCTTCATTTTTTTCATTCGTTTCCCAAAAAATATCTTAATTTTTTTTTCATAATTTATATTATAATGGCTAATAACTTACTTTCAGTGATAGTATTTGAAGTCGAGATAGTAGTCATATCAAGTTCATGATCTGAAAAGGAAAATAACAAAAAGTGTATAAAGTTTCGTGTTGAGAAATATTGCGGAAAAAAATTAACAATGGGATTTTACCTTCTCTGTTTTTTTTTGGGGGAATTTATTTCATTGATTAGAAACCAGTAGTGTTACCAAAGTAGACCAAGGGGAATAAGAACATCTAAAAAAAATATAAAAAGATATATATATCTAAAGTGCGATGGGGACGCTAAAACGCGATGGTTACGCTAAAGTGCGATGGCATACGCTAAAGTGCGATGGTTTGATGCGCTAAAGTGCGATGGTCTGTGCCTTTTAATGGATCACGCAAGAGTCCGATGCCGCGATACGCTAAATTGCGTTTTTCCGCGAAAGTGCATTAATTTTGTTTGCGAAAGTATGACGTTACAAGCCGTTTCTACAAACAAAAATGGATATGCCGATAAACGAGAATGTTTGTGCAGATGAAGGTTTTTTACTAGACAAGAAAAGAAAAGAAACAAATGACCCCAATCCGGAACATTTTTTGTCGGTGCTAGAAGAGTTTGTATACGGAGGAATTATTTCCCGAAAAATCATCCACAGTAACAGAAATGCAAAACTTTGATCTCGCTGTTAACCCTTTCGGCGCCAATACGACATTTTTGTCGTTTACCGCTAGTACGCCAAAACGACATTTTTGTCGCTTTTTAGTAGAACCCATAAACCATTCAAAATGTATATAAAGAACATCAATTTACTGCCGAAACCATTATAGGTTTAAAGAAAAATAACTGACTTTTTTTTGTTATTCCAGAATAACCCTAAAAGTCTCATATATATATATAAATATATTGCATGTTTGTGATTGAAAACAATTATATTTAGAGATAACGTGCAAATTTTTCAGTCGGACAGCTGACCCCGGTTTGACCCCATTTCTTAAAGCAACAATGGAAGTCATGTGACTACCATATTTGGGCATTTTTTGGGGTATTTTTTTCTTCAACTGTAACGACTCTGTTTCCTCCAAAAAGTCATATCAAATGAAATCAAAGCATGCTGTAAGTTACAAATGCCAACTGTATATACTTTTTAGAAGTTCTAACATACAAATTGTTTTGATTAAGCGTATTGAGTTAGAATACGAAGCCTTCAAACCCAAGGTCGTCACTCGTCGCGTCAATTTTTTTCAACACACTAGTGGAAATTTCTTTCTTAACTTCTGGGGAACCTATGCTGAATTTAAAATATGTGATGAGGATTTTTATAAACTGACCCGTGTCAAATTTGTGCCACTTAATACGATGTAATACGCAAATGTGCCACTTCCAGGGGCGGATCCAGGATTTTGGAAAGGGGGGGGGGCGTAGTATTAAAGTTCGCCGAGCGGAGCGAGGCGAAAAATTTTTTGGACCTTTTTTTGGCTAAAAAACATAAAATAAGTGTAAAATGCATTTTAAAGTTAAAGTGTAGGGGTTGGACATTTTTGGTGCCGTATTCTCTCCATTAATTGTCTATTATAAAATGATTGGATGGATCCAAAGCTATGTACTAATTAATATATTTGATGTGGGATTTGTCAGTAAAAAAATGGACATGGAAAATTCTCGTTTGTTGTATGGTTAGTTAGCATAACCTCACAGATTTCTTGTTGTAAACAAGATATACGGCTATTCAATGAAATTTACAATACGACCGACACGAAGAAAGACAAACAAGCAATTTTTATCCAAATGTTTGGTTGAAATGTTTCAACCAACAAAGGAAGTGAGGGGTTCCAAATCAATCAAAGGCTACGAATGAGTCGGAAATGACAATGAAGTTGTGAATGACGGTCGACACATGGAGACATATAGGCCACACCCAGCAGGCAGGTTGCTGTCGGGCCTTGAAAAAAGTATTCAGTATATAAGTTCGGCGAAACAGACATTCCGGTCAGATATGGGATTCACATGCAACCCCCCAAAAAAATTAAGCCCGTTTTTTATTCATCATGTTCATTTAATGCTAAATAATTTTGTTGAAAATACTTTTTTCTAATAGCAAAAAAGTGGACAAGATTATTGTTTTCAATCCAGATACGGCCAGAATTTTTGTTTAAGGCAAAAATCAGGGTCAGAATTTTTTCTCTAAAATATCTCAGACTGCCCCCTCAAATCAAATGATCCGTACCTTAGACTTTAAATCTATATCTAGAGCTTACTGACTGGGGATCACTATTCAGCAATGTTATTAATGGGCTGGGGCGTGCTCAATACTTTGTCGCTTTGAAGGCGTCATACTTGTCATCCTCAGCCTAAGCAATGTGTTACTGTAATTTGAATTTCAAAATGACTGAGTGACGTTTTTTTCGACGTACTGGTCAACTCCACCGTAGCGAATCACATGACTTTGACATAATCAATAATATATTACAGTAAACTGATACGAGCGAAAAATATCTTTATAAGTAAAGAATTGTCGCATAAAAATTAAATACACGGGGAATGGCAAAGTTCGCGAAGTCGTCTGATTAATCATTTTACAAGAAAAAAAAAAAAAAGTGCAAGCAAAGGGGGGGCGTACGCCCTCTACGCCCCCCTCTGGATCCGCCACTGACTTCGATGTGTCGAAATTTCTGACGAAGCGGTGCCGATAGTAATTTACGAGTTACATCCCTTTGTTGACACTTTTCATGAACAAACTTATTTGTACCTATTATATATATTTAGCACCATATGATGTTATTTACATGTGAATATTATTAAAATAATTAATTATCTTTTTACTAAATATATTTTGATACTACAGACATTTTTTAAAACAATTAGGTAAACACATTTTATCATTTTTAAAACAGTTTCAAAACTGAAATAGGGCTTTAAGAGGGTGGTAAAGGGTTATTTTCGTGCAACGTGTTTTGCAATTTTTATTTCACGTGCAGCCGTGAAAAAGGTTCCTTATTCACCGTGTTTCGTGAAACTTTTAATTGTTCTTTCATCGTGAAATGGCAATTTTTATTTCGCGTTCTTCCGTGCAGATACCCCCTCTTTTACGCCCCTCCTTTAATATTACAGTAAATGTTACTCTGTGCCATAATATATTATTCGAAGGGTTACTTTAATATTTTGGTAAATATTTTTACTGCTGTAACCAAATAATATCAACACAGAAATTAATTTCTACTACATAAAGACCAGGGCTAGCCAAATTATGCATAAATACTGGATCTAGACAGGGTTAAAATATTGAATTCCCTTGCAATACTGATACCTGATCCTACCTTTTTCATATGCATTTAAAAGAATTAATAATCAAAGTATTCTCAATCATCGGAGTCAATGTAAATTCTTCATAATTTGAAATAAAAGGAAATTGGTTTGCAATCTGTGTATAATTAAACTAAATATAACAATAAATTGTATCTCATTGATTCCTTGCAAGTTCTACTGAATGGACTCAAATTATAAAAAAAAAAAGCCTAAACCTTAACCAATGGATAATTATTTAAATAGTTTATAATCATGAACTTTGCCATTTGATTAGGGACTTTCCTTTTAGAATTTTCCTCGGAGTTCAGTATTTTTGTAATTATACTTTTTACTACAAATGTTTTCAAAATGTAAAAGTTTTTTTTTTAGATCTTTGCCAAAAAATTATCTAAAAACTAATTTGTGACGTCTTGTCCTTCAATTTTTTCTTGTGACCTTCTGTCCTACCTTCTTATTGATGAATGTAGGAGGCAAAAGTAAAATAACGAAAATACCGAACTCCGTGGAAAATTCAAAACGGGAAGTCCCTAATCAAATAAATACATATTTATTTCACAAAAATGTACGCACTTGTCGATCGTTGATTTGTACGGATAGAAAGTTACGGAACTATAGAAAGTCACAATTTAAAATATGTATTTTGAAAATAAGAGAGAAACCTCCAGAACCATTCTGATTTAAATTTAGGGCCAGTATGCATAAAACTACTTAAGATTTGTTCCGAACGGACGGATTTTTCTACAGGTTCTACGATAAATTAATACTACAATTGGATATCGTAACTTAAGTGGTTTTAGGCATATCAGTCCAGATCTATCTCTAACTTGCTTTGCTTCGTCGAAGTTATGAAAATAGTAAAATCACAGATTTATATTTCAATTAGATTGTTCTAGAACAGTTTAAGAAATTCGCCATCACAATTGTTAGTTATATTGTATAACTATAACGTGAACCTTGTGAAATAGCACGTTAAATTCCAACTAAGCGTGACTACCTTGTAAAAGCGACGGTTCTATCAATACCTGTTGTCAATTTCAAGTTCTGTTCCGATATGCATGTAATATATGTCACTGGACTATCAACATCATCTTCGTCAAATATTGCTGTTGGTTTCTTTTTTTACATGTACATGTATACACTCTAAAAAGATGGGGGCTATGATTGCCAATGAAATAAACTATTCAACAGAGACCAAATTAGCCCAATCATTTTTTGTGGTTACTATAACAACTGAAGCCGTAATTCCGCTGTAGTGCACGCCGATCATATCTGTTATAACAGGTAGGTGCATGGAAACCATACCACCTAACCAAGTTTAAGAGTACATAACAACCCTATTTTAAATTTGTGCATTATACTTAAAACTTGCACACCAGAGACTAATAGTATATGACGTATGGATTAGTACAAAATGCAGACTTTAACCTATCGTCGACAGAGATATGACAACGAGACATTAATACTACAGATTCTGAAATCCTTCGGTTTGCATAAAAAAATATATATTATTATTCGAAACACGATTTTGAATTTACTCCAATCAAACCAATAAAAACGTATGGCTTAGTATACCATGCAGGCATTTATATATATTGAGGGACCATTTATAACACCTCATATAAAAACAAACACGCTCTTTTCAGAAGAAAACAAATATAAGAATAAAAGTTTATTTGATGTCACCAGTTGTAAAATATGAAAAATGAAACAATAACTGACTACCAACATAGACTTTTGTTGTATGTTTATACAAACCGAAACCACTACTACATGAGGGGGTTGACACGCTCAAATTTACAAAAACGCGTTTCAGAGAACCAATGCACCAAATTTATTTTATAGGATTTAGTTTTACGTAATACTGCATATGGACAAGAACAATTTAAATGTAGGACAAAATCGGCTTACAACACGAAATTTGTTCAAAGAATAGTACCAATCATGTGACAAAATGACGGGTATGTAACAGAGGGTAGCGCAATTGCAGATGGATTTGTGGATATTTGCCGTTTGTTTAACGTTCAGTGGCAAGTATTTCATGCATATTCAGAACCAAACTAAGTTGTGCAGACGACAAAAGCAAAATGGTGACAAATTCATTGTTCAAAATTTATTTCCAAGTGTAATTTAGGAATTCATATATATGTATATTACTAAACAAAAACAATATCATTATGGAAATAAATTTTACTATTACTTATTGAACATAATAAAAAGATCAAACCCGCTAAAACAAAATAGACCCGGCGTAAGAAACTTTGAAAGAAAACTAAAATAAATGAATTAAAAAAAAAAGTTTTAAAAAATATTACACAAACAACTTTTAACTTTTAATCTTATGAAAATAATGCTGATATTTTCCTAGCCATGTTTGATTATAGCAAAAAATTACAAAAAGTTTCTTGAAATATCAAAATTTAATACGAAGAACATGTTTTTTTAAATTTTGATTTATCAAGTTGAATACCTTGTGCGATCTATGTAAACACTCCTTGTTGTTGAATTGGGGTTTGGCTGACCTCAAATGATATTACGTTTTAAAACAATAACTTAAATGATAAATACAATTTTATTAATTAACTACTCTCTTATTGGACTTAATATGATGATAACTGTCTATGCAATACAAAAGTATCAACTCGGCCAATACAGAATAACTCGGTCAATATAGATTTTTTCTGTATTGGCCGAGTTCCGATCCGGCCAATACAGGATTTCGGAACTTCTCTGGTTTTTAGTTAGAAATTCAAGATGAAGGCAAAGATATGTAAACAGTCGTCTGCAAGACACTGTCGTTCTTTCTACACACCAAAAACATGCCTAAACGCAAAAAAATAACAAACGGAGAGGAAATGATGGACGCATTGGTGGAAGATATCTTCCGCTATGAAGAATTGGCCGAACTTAAGGCGGAGACAATTAGACACAATGTGACAGGCGTCGCAAACTCTGTACGTAATGAGGAACTAGAAGTTGAAGTTGAACAACCAACCATGCCACAGACTAACATGACTGCCCAATTATTACGGGATGATGATCATGACGACGATAACAAAGAAAATGATGAGGATAGTGTAGGTAGATTCAAAATATACACCGATGAAGAGACTGATCAATTTCTGGACATTAATAAGAACAAAAACACTGGATCAAAGACCAAAAGCGATTTTAAAATTGTGAGAGACTTCTTCATATCAGTTGGTAAAATGAGGGACCCAACAGAAATTCTCCCTAAAGAACTGGACAGTCGGATCTCCTGTAGTTGGTGATCGCAATACTGGTATACTAGTATTGTGCACAATACTGGTATAAAAATATGTACCAGTATTGTATTCCAGTATTGTACCAGTATTGTGGTTTTTTTTTTAAATAAACAATACAGATAGTTAATTAATCTTTTATTAAAGGTGTCATATATATATATGCATAATGATATTAACATATGACATGACAATTTTATATGGAATGATTGTATGTTTAACCGGAGACATATATACACATATGTATATATGTCTATATACACATACAATGTATGTATATATGTCTATATACACATGTATATATGTCTCTGGTTTAACTGATGATGCCATTGATGGTACACTGTGATTGTAACCAAAGAAAGTTTTAAATCTTCTGACGTTTTTTTTCTTAAGGGAACAGTACTGTCTCAGCATTTTAATAAACTCTTTACTTTCTTCTGTTTGCTTCCAGCTGTCTCTTTCCAAGACCCAATAGTATATTTTGGTGAATTTTATATTGACATTAATGCTGTTATAGCTTCTGTATCATCAGCATTGGTATTGTTTATTTCTTCTTCAGAAGGCATTTCTACAACCCCCACTTCCTATATTGATATTTAGGTATTCAGTCTGTGGACTTTCTCTTATGCTTACTAGATTACATGCTTGTTTAGATAGCACCTGTATGGCTCTCTTACACTAGGAGTGCTTGTCTAGTATTAGTATTTGAGTATTTGTACCAGTAGATATATTTGCTACAAATTGTATTGCCCATTGGTTTGAATCAAATGCTTTAACTACCCTTAACATTCATGTAGACAAACTAGTTAATTTGATTATAATCAGGTTCCCCTATTAAGCAACTTTTTATGTTTAATGGATATTGATATCTTTTATCATTTTTATTGTGAAAGATTAATAAGAAAATAAAGACAAACAAATTCATATGATCTTAGTATACATGTTTAAAAATCTGTAAAAAATATACGCTGACATACATGTAACTGCTGAATTTACAGTGTTATAGTGTAATAATTTGCTTGAATTTATTAAATAATAACTCAGATAATAAAGCTTTTATTTCATTTTATCTAAATTGAATTAAATAAAATATAGAAATATGATAAAATTATTAGCAATCATTTATAAATTAACAATTGTTTGAATAAGATGAGTTGATTACAATAATCTTTTGTTTATTTGTACAAGTACTAGTAATTATTTCTAACTGGTTGTTAATTGATTTCACAATTATCCTCTATAATCATCTTTTTTAGTTCATTTAATCTCCCTTTGATCTTCAATATCTAATTTTGCTTAAAATTCATTTTTCATTATACACCTTAAATAAAGTATAGTGAACAATACAACTACAATACTGGTATATCAGTAATGTACCAGTATTGCTGTTTTTTTTTTAAAAAGTTACAATACTGGTACAAAATTTTTATACCAGTATTGTAGACAATACTGGTATACCAGTATTGCGATCACCAACTACAGGAGATCCGGACAGTCTGTTAGCAAGATTTTTTTTGGGAGTCAGAAAGAGAGACTTGTCAGAATATGAACCAGACAGTCTACATGGGATTCATAACAGCTTGGATAGATACTTCAGGGATATGAAACTTACTCTAAGGTACAATTATTGATTTATCTAAATCTTATATATCAACAGAAGCTGATCTACTAAGTTTTTATTTATGAAGTTCAATAATGGCATTAATGCACAGTCAGAATACCCCCACCCCTTTTTTTCCATTTAGGCCCCTGTAAAAGTGTATTTTAATAAAAAACGGTTGAACAAATTACAAAATATGTATGAACAAAGTTTTAAAAAAATGTTTTTTAGTGGAAACACACGTACGAATGAATTTTTGATTTGCCTTATATTAAATCTGAATTTTGAAATTTAATACATTTAATGTGTTTTAAGATAACCTAATGTTCAACACTTTATATTTCAGTATAAAAAAAGATCCAGAGTTTGCCCACTCTAGACGAGTACTGGAGACAAAAAAGAAATCCCTGAAATCCATGGGAAAAGGCAATAAACCAAATAAAGCTGAATCCTTGACAGGAGAAGAAATTGGCATCCTAAGGGGAAAAGGAATTATTGGTACACGTATGTATTACCTTTTTTTCATAAACTTATCTCACTTTTCTCCAAAAAAAAAAACACACAAGCTATTACATTTGTTTGATACATTTGTCTGTCGGTTTTGTTTACTAACATCTAGTAAAAAATAATCTCAACCTAATATGGGAGAAAAAAGGCACATTGCGTGTATATAGGTAAATTGTAGAAAATATTTCACAAATTACATGTAAAAAAATACAGTTGAATGTTGCTGTTGTAACAAAAACAAATAAAATGAAATTTACAAGGAAATACTTATTATTTAATTACTATTTCATATTGTGCATTTAAATTGATATAGAATAATGATGTATAGTTCAAAGATTGAAGTTGTGTTCTACTTTTTTTTATCTAGAAAATCCAGAAGCACTACTAAATGCAATTTGGTTGAACAATGGTGCATATTTTGGTCTGAGAGGTAGACAGGATCATGTCAATATGTTGTGGGGAGATGTCCTACTTAAAAAAACATCCAGTGGAAAGGAATATTTAGAATTCAATGGTATGTATCATATGCTACTGACATTTTTGGTGATATTTTTGTTTGCTACATGAAGTTCTTATTAAAAAATAAAAAATATATTCTGATGAAAAAGCCAATTTGCATGCACATTTAGATATTCTGCTGTTACAAACATGACCGAAAATGCTGACAAACTCTATCTGACTCAGTTATCAGTAATTGCTTGCATGTACTAGTATGAATGTGTACCAGCTTCAATGTTCCAAAACTACAATCTTGACCCAATATCAGATGTTTTTAAAGATCCAAAATCGTATCAACCTGAAGAAATGACAAGCTAAATAATGTTTTGAATAGAAAAGAACAAATATTGACCGAGGCCACCGGCCGAGGTCAATATTGGTTCATTTGTCCCTAAAACCTATTGCAAATAAACTTACAATTTTATTTTATTTTAGAACGTAGCACTAAAACAAGAAAAGAACCAATATTGACAGAGGCCACCGGCCGAGGTCAATATTGGTTCATTTGTCCATAAAACCTATTGCAAATAAACTAACAATTTGATTTTATTTCAGAACGTAGCACTAAAACAAGAAGTGGGGAAAAAGTTGGAGATTACAGACCTGTTCAGCCCAAAGTGTTTGAAGAACTACATGCAGGAGAAAAATGTCCCATACATATTTATAAAGAGTACAGGCGTCATAGGCCTACGGTAGACCAAGATTCTAGATTTTACTTAAGGCCATTAGTGGAACCAAAAACAAATGTCTGGTTTTCCAAACAATGTGTAGGAAAAGACAAGTTAAGTCGTATTATGAAAAACATGGCTGAAAGGGGAGAACTGCAAGGACGTAAGGTCAATCACTCAGGCCGTAAAACTTTCGCAACTACTTTACTGCAAAGTGGTAAGCCAGTAACAGAGGTTGCACAGTTGGGAGGTGGGAAAAACATTGGGTCGTTAAATCATTATTCTGTTCCGTCTGTTAAACAACAGGAAGAAGCATCACAAACTATTTCTAGTGTAATGATACCGGAATCATCTGAACATCATGACAGTTCTGACATATCTGATGGACAAAAAGGTGAAATTATTAATGTAAATCAACCGTGCAGTATTGTTCCTATAATTGGACCAAGTTCATGTGTAGCACAAATGACCAATCTATCTAGTAATCAAATGCAGTCAGAAAAACAAGACAATCCATTGTCACTGTTTTGTGGGGCCGTAATTAGTGGTGGTACCATCAATATTAATATTGTCTCTAGCAGCAATGAGAAAGAGAAAACATGTACCAGCACAGTGTCAAGTGAAATTGTTTCATCTCAAGAATAACTGCATACAAATAATAGACTAGTTTTATTGTTCCTGGAAAAAAACTTGAAAAAAAAATTCTTACTATTCAGATGTTAATTTTTTATTATTATTAAATGTTGAACAATTTAAATATTTCTGTGTTTTGTCCCATTACTAGTAGTAAATTAATAAAGATATCATTTCGTGGTTATTTCTGTATTGGCGCTCAGGCCAATACTGCAAGCCTCGGACCAATAACAAGGCCAATACAAAAATAACCACGTAATAGTATCATAATATTACTGGGGGGGGGGGGGGGTTCTTTGCCCCTAATTTTTTTTAACAGCAGTAGGCTTATAGTATTTTGAAGCATTTAAATGAAATGAAACTTAAGATAATTATTATAAATAAAAAAACTTATTAAGCAAGTCGGCCAAAAAAATGATTGATATTTCAAAGAAAGATTTTTAGTGTGTTTATAGCAAGCTTAAACCAGAATGTGCATGTATAATATATGTCTCTGCTTATACGTATGTGTATATAACAGTCACAAATCACTTCTAAACATAAAAATCAACGATGTAACATAAATGCATTTATTTACTGTTTTATCGAAAGTGATCAAGATGCGCAAATTTCTTAATTCAAATTTTATGACACTTAATTTTTTTCAAAACACATATTAGTTATGCATCCTTTTATCAAAGTTTTGTTTTTCTTCAAGACCGTATCTCGGCGGCACTGCTGAAAACAAATCTAAATTTCCATCAAATGTATTGCAATTATTTCATGGTATCTTTAAAACTTGTATATTAGATAAATTTGACAAGCATGACCACAAATACTACAATAAACATTGGTCACGCACGACATATCCCGAAGTATGACACGTGCCGATAAAAACTCGTATAACGTTGTTAATATTGCTTTGACAATCCTAAAACAAACATTTCATAAAGAAAGAAATTTTTCTATCGAATGATATACTTTTATTCAATTACTAGTATATGTTGCTATACATTGTCAAAAAAACTATTACAATGTCATTGCCAGTTTTCACGCATCAGCGCACACAGGTTTGTCTAAAAGGCCAACTGATTGGAGGAAAGTTACAGATAGCCACGCCTACCTTAAACTAATACCCGATCAACCGACTTCAGAAACATAAATTAAATAAATCAAACATGGATAAGGTTACAGAAATTTGGTTGCGTATTCAATATTTGAAAAAGTTTAGACTCTTTATTCAAACTTAGAAATACAAAATATGACCGTAATGCAAGTTTCGCGATTTTACAATAAATTTTATACATCGACGTGTAATTCCTGGGATCGTCATATTTAAAGATTTGGAAGAGCCTAGATAATAAAATTTTCAACTACCTAGTGCAGAAAAAAACTCAACCAAATTTAATAAAATTTGCAAATAGGAACAATTTCGAATTGTTCGCTATTCGTACAAAAAAATCACCAGCAATTATTTTAAATTAAAAAATCAAATAGTTCTTTTATCTGTATGCAATCGCAAAAAAAATCATTTTAAGTCTTTGATCTAGTTGCAAAAGATGACAATGCTCCCTTAAACTGTAAATTACATGAAGACAGCCCAAGAGTAAAATACAAGTTTATATAATACAATAAAGTATTTAACCCTCATCCGTCCTTGTAAATGCAAAACTCTGGATTCTTTTGATATTTACCGGAGAGATCATAAAACACAAATCTAACAAGAATTTCAAAGGTGTTTGCTAAAAATGAAACGAAATAAAATATTTTTTTGTAAACGAGCAACAAATTGAAATTGAAATTTTACCGAATGAATGAAATAAACTTTAAAAAAAAAATCAGTGCACATCTTTCTAGTGGCGAAAAACACGCATATAGAGTTACGTAGATGAAAAAGAATAAGTATAATTTAATAATAATTATGATGTCAATTTCATAAATTCAAGGATTATAGCTAGAAACAACCTAGCTTAAACACGATTCGTGATTTCCCATGTATATAAATTAAAACAGATTTATTTATTTTTAATAATAGATTAAATTCCGAAATACGCAGGCATGGCTCTGATCCTTGGCAGTTCAGCGAACAATATTACATGAAATGCACGATGATATTAATCGAAAACAAAGGTGAACGATTCAAATTGTAAAATCAGCCGCTGGACGTTAAATAGTAACCAATCAATAAACGACCATACAATACAATCAATGTGTTTCTATCAATCAATTAATGACAATAAAAGACTTTTGAATGTAAAAGTATGATAGAAATACCTTTATTTTTTTGTAATTACATATCTTTTTTTTATCAAATGAACATTTCTATAAACTGCTCCTGGTTATTAGTACCCGTCAGTTCGTTGCGAAATTTCCTAGCTCTTTTACCGATTCCGAAAAAATAATAATGGAAAAATAAATGTTCCCATGGGAAAAATATATGTTCCCATGGGAAGAATAAATGTTCCCAAGGGAAAAAGATGTTCCCATGGGAAGACAAATTAGTTCCCTTTGGAAATTTAGAATTTCCCATGGAAACAAACTATTTACTTAATATGTTCCCATGGGAAATTGTAGTTCCGATGGGAACTTTAAAATTCCCATGGGAAAAGTACTTTTTCCGATGTGAACTTTAAATTTTCCCATGGGAACTTCTAATATTCCCATGGGAATTTTTAAATTTCCCATGGGAAATGTACTTTTAATCAGATTTAGTGACCACAGTGACATGTTGGGACATATGGGGAATTTTTTTTTTAATGATCTATCACTTGGCCAAAAAATATTTTTGTTATCTTGTAAAACAACAAAGTCAGATTTGCCAATTTTGGAATGGCAAATTTGTCCCGCACAGTGTTATATGATTGCCAATGAGATAAGTCTCTATCCAAGACTAAATGTCATTAATGTAATTAACTAAAGGTTACCGTATGGCTTTTAATGCGATCGTTGGCTAACCCCGCATATAGTATTCTATAAAGGTCAAAGGATATCAAAACGACCAGTGTAAAACAATTCAAACGAGAAAAATAACGGACTGATTTATATAAAAAAAACAATAAATAAATAAGAAGATGTGGTGTAATTGTCAATGAAACAACTATCCACCTAAGACCAAATGTCGTTGATGTATGCACCTAATAACATTATGAACTTCAACATGGAGCCTTGGCTCACGTCGCATAGCAAGCTATATAGGACCACACAATGACTAGTGTTAAACAAGTCAAAAGAGAAAGACAACGGCATGATTAATAAACAAAACAATAGACGAAAAACCAATAGAAACACAGCAAAAAACAAACCCCATTGCATGAATCGAATTCACGTTACACCATCGCACTTTAGCGTGTATTACCTTGGCACTTTAGCGTGTATTACCTTGGCACTTTAGCGCGGCATATACCGTTGCACTTTAGCGTGTCATACCATCAAACTTTAACGTGTCATCAGATCTGATCGCACTTAAATTCACATGAAACTTCATATTTAAAAAACAAGTTAAACATGTTTTATATACTTGAATGGTTAAGTTTTAATCTAAAAGAAGTGAACGTAAACTTTTTTTAAAAAGAAAATCCTTTCTATTATCAAAATATTCATAAATGTACCAATATTGAATTATTGACTTCCCAGGCACTAATTCACCGATATTTTCCCGTATGCAGTGACCTTAACTACGAGACCTCTCGTTATAACTTTGGCCACCGCACAGCGCAAGTGCGAGGGGAAAACCGTGATGAAAGAATGTAAACACACGTGTTCTTGAAGGTTAATACAAATAACAGATTCTTAAAGAACAAATTTAATACAAAAAATCATTTAACAACTGTTAAGGAATAGTTAAATAAACAAATGGGAACACATGGAAAATATAAAAACAAATGTCATGCTCTTTCATTTCTTATCTGTCACGTTTTCCACGTGCTCTGTTTTATTGTTTATCAATGTCACGATCCGGTAAGCTTCGGCAACAAACCCGAAAGTTAATTAGCTTGCGATCAACAACCACTGAATGAATTATAATTTGTCGATAATACGTTATAGATGTGTAATAAATATAAAAAACGTGCATGCAAGACTAAGTTTAGTATGTATGCATGCATTGGTTTAATAATTTCCATACCAATACAATTTCAAGAAACTCGTTTCATATGACTTTAAAAAAACAAACAACCATCGCATTTTAGCGTAGACCATCGCACTTTAGCGTGACCATCGCACATTAGAGTCAAACATATATAAAAAAAAGAGCACAATGTGGAAAAATGTGCGTTCTTATGGTCCTGTAGTATACAAAGTAAAACTATAATATTATAACATTTACAAGGACATTAGAAGTAGTGTAAATTAATATCATTATGCTAAAAGAGTGTTCATGTTAGACTGCGCAAACGATTTGTCATGATGAAACTAGAGTCTGCAGCGTTAAATGTAGTTTTTGCATGACATGTAAACTGACGATTTATATTTTATTCGTGATTGGAAGTGGTAAAATCATTAAAATCTTTGAAATAATTATTGCAGCATTAAATATGCCTTAACTTCTTTATAGTTTGAACGGTTGCAAATTATTTCTGTTCGATACACATATAAGTTCAAAAGGAGATTTCAATTCATTCGTAACACCTTTTCTAACTGTGGGACACAAACAAGTAAAAATATATCACCGCTGAGTTCTCAACGATATTCAAGAGTGAGATCATAAATTTATATTCTGTACTAGGATGTGAAAAAGGACATGATTAACGCGGAAAATTTCGCTGACTAATCATAAAATGACAAACGCATCGTAATATCCCAAACAAGAAGAAATAAAGAAATGTACGGACGCACAGACAGTATCACGCATATGAACTGACTTTGACTAATAATGAAATTAACCACAACATATAGATTGTCCTAAGATAGCTGCAGGGGAAATATATAAACAATAACGTACGACCATAGATGTATAAACCCATATATGGTACGACCATAGATGTATAAACCCATATATATGGGTTTATACATCTATGGTACGACGAAGGTGCAACATTAAAACCAATTAAATCAATTAAGAAGAGAACTAGAAGTCAGAATTAAGCCCATTCAGTTGAGTTTTAAAGCAATTGTATTGCACCTGTTATCAAATCTTACATATGGTTCAACCAGAATTGCTGAAACTTAGCTTATTAGTGTTATCATTATTTTGTTCATTCTTTCACATGTAATATATATCAAGTTAAAACAAGATTGAATACGAAAATGAAACATCTTTATATAATACAACACTATTAACCTGATGCTGTGCCTGGTAGGCTCTCTGTAACTAGAGGATCTGATTGTCCTACAAAGAAATAATAGGTAACCGATTACTATTGTTATTTCATCAAAGAATGATACAATACGTATGGTACTTGTGAATATACACTGGCGTTTAACCAGATAAAGCACTAGTAAAATCACGGTCGCCGCGATATAGCCTTTTTGTGCTGATGCGGAGTAAAACAATCACCAATCAATCAATCAATAAAATCATAAAAGGGGGGAGGGTACTTCATATTATTGGGTATACACGGATGTGCCTAAAATATGGGTCATAATTTTGCGAGATTTTATATAAAAATGACCATCCTTTTTAATGACATCCTATATTAAAACGCATTTACGTTTGATAACTGTAAATTTATTTGGGGCATGATCTACATATCATATATATAAAATGCTATTGAGAATCTTACATTATTAATGGTCAATTACTATATTAAATTAAATCAATAATATATATATATATATGCACTAAACGATGTAAATTCATATATAAAAACTTGAGGATACTAGCTGTATATTTAAGAATTATGAGTGATGATATAGATTCAGTGCTTATATAAGCATGGGCCATATTTTAAATATTGTATATAAGTATAGGTCATTCTTTCTTAAATATTTATATAACTATAGGTACTGAATTTCAGTGAATGTTATATTAAAATGGGTACGTTTTTGAGGCAAAAATGGCACACCCCTGCAAAAAAAAAAATCGAAGTTACCCCAACCCCCGTGAGTAAAATATACATAATATATTTTAATATAACGTTCAAACGCTCTGAGTACACACCCGTGGTAAAATATGAATATATTGTATGTCAGCTGATCTGCAACGTCATGATTCCCATCGCACTACTACGTCGTATGCTTTTTATGAATGAGTTATCCGAGGTCAATCGGTAAAAATGACGTCATTGAACGATGACGTAAGAAAATAAGCCTTCTACAGGAAAGTACACGAATGTAAAACTGAAAGTCATCAAAACACGGAACTTAAACAAGAGATGATAACAAGTTGTTGAAAGCAAAGAATTAAATAAAAGTATCAAAAAGATAATCATTTAACTTTGAACAAACCAGTCTGAGTATGTTATTGTAAGTTATTGTAAATCGTTTAAGCATGTCACTAACTTTTGTTTGTGTCTTTTACGTCAAGTGTGTTTAATGACAGGAATAGCAAATATTCGTTATTAGCCAATTAATCGGTAAGACATTTCATTTATGTGTATACAAGACTTAGTTTTATGTTTTAGTATTCAACTATATGAGCGTTCATGAAACGTTATATGGGATAATCGTCAATAAAACAGCAACCCTCCGACACAAGAAGACCGGGTTAGGTTATTATGTTTTGAATAACGTTCGTTTTTGAAAACAAAGCCATGTTCAAATCCAATAAACAACTTTCGAGTTCGTTGCATTTCCGTCAAAAACTTTGGTTTTAGTGAACTTCATTCGTGCGTTTAGGGGCGTCGTCACTTCCGTTCCTATGTTGAGCGATTGGTTGAAAAAATTATAATGCTATATTGCACGAATTATTCGGCAAATTAAATTCTTATAATTGATATTCAGCACTGATATCATTAGAGAATTGTGATTAAGTACTTAACTTACGGAACTAATTACACCTTATATAAGAATGCCGGATTTTGATTGGTTGTTAGCCAGTGTATTTTTAGCATATTCTAGCATATTTTCCTCATTTCAAACGAATTTGCTTGTTTTTTTCACCACTGCCGGTGAATTTGCCTCAAATTCCCCTCTCTGCCGTGGTATTTGCCATTTTGGATATTCCTTTTTTACCCTCGCGAGCCTGTTCCCGCCAAAATTATTCGGAACCTTTCTTACTTTATCCCGACAACATGGTTAAGCACTATTGATTGAGTTAAACCGAAAACTGTCAGAAATATACATATAAAGAGGGTAAAAAATGTCTATACAAATGAACGATTTAATGATGGAATAACAATGACGTTTACACACATAGATACCATGACGTTACAAAAAGACAGCACTAACGCATATAAGTACATGTATTATTCCCGCGGTACTACGATTTCCCTTCACATGTACAGACAGTTTCAATCAAAATCTATTCGGTGTAATTAAACAGATATATCATGTTATGGAGGGGAATTTGCCAAAATACCAGTCTTGGGACTAAATTTCCCTCGCCTAGCGGCTTGGGAAATTTCACCGTCCCTTGACTGGTATTTTTCGCAAATACCCCTGCATAACATGATATATCTGTTCAAAATATTATTTCTAGTTATCTAGGTATCCTACATAATGACGATCACAAAGACTCTTGATGAACTTTAAAGAGCAGGGATACAGGCGATCCTCTCTATCTGGTAAATGACTTCACAAAGGCGCACAAAATTGACGAACTTTTCCGGTGAAGGACATAACTCGAAAGTGGTCTATAGAACATTGGCTGCACGTGATTGACGTCACAGTTGAAATTGTAACGTCACGGTCAGTTGTATTTTGAACAATGCTGGAGATCAAAACGGACATTTTTGTTTGTATTGCTCGCTCGGAAATTAAAGTCATTTTAAAAGTAAGTTTTCGTGTATCTGTTATTTTTTTTAACGTGAAACTCGATTTTCTATAACGTTTTGGCTTCTTCAAATCTAAATGGCCACCTTTCGAACGTGTATAGGTCCGCTTTGAAGTTTTAAATTTTCCTATTAGAATCAAAATAATTCTGTCATGCCATGCTCTATGCTCATTTCAACATGGGTAGGCATTATATTTGTTAACATTTTACACTTCACTAACTCTCGGTGTAAAGATATTGAATATTATAATACCTACCCATGTTAAAATGAGCATAGAGCATGGCATGAAATAATTCTTTCTTAAATTATAGTGGTACGTACATGTATTTATTTTAGTTATTTTATTTAATCATTGCAAGGGAATAATTTGGGTTTTTAAAACACTAATTCATTGCTGCATAACACTTTTTAAAGCTAAAGAAATTTATCCTTTTAAAATATTTCCCGATATTATAATGGTTGGGTATCGACCATTTCAACACGCGTATTCAATACAATATAAAATTTTGCTTACTTCTACAATAATAGTTAATATTGGCGTATCTTTTATGAAAAAGCCACGAGTCTTTAGTTGTATCTGGTGAGCAGAAGCGTTTGTTATTACATAACTGTTCAAGACGATCTTTGGTACGGTCCGTGTTCATTTCACCACATCTTCCTCCATCACTGTAAGACGAGACCTTTTTAATATGTATGTAGTAATTGTAAATACACTTGACTTCCGCTAACGAATTCGCACAGGTATCAACATAACCACGATTGTAATCAGACCACCACCATGAATCTACTAAAGATGCAAAAAACAATCAACGATTAGATAAATATTGATATCATATACTAGTATTTATTTAGACGTTTATACTTCATTTCATCACATTTATATTAGCAGGTCGCATCAGTTTTCATAGGCGCTGATCATTGGCAATTTTACGCCTTTCTTTGTTTGAATGTTTATCTAAGGTTAAATAAATGTAGTTGGTTTCCCAAACGTTTAGATAGAATGAATATACCAGAAGAAAAAAAACATGTCGTGTTCATTTAACTTGAGTTTGTGATCTTTCATGCCTGTGATTTAAAGCGTCGGTCTTTTATTGATTTTTCTGAAAGAATTGTTATATTTTATATGTGGATATTATTATATTTTTTAAGTAGGATCATCATTATATATTTCCTCACTGACAGATAGAATTTCCTTATACTTCGCCAAAATGTAGATTAATCATGCTTTTTTTTCAAAAATATAATAAAAAGTGAGGGTTACCGTGCTTTTTTTCAACCTTCAAGTCCTGCGGCTAAAATTGGTATAATTTTGCACAGATTATTAAGGAAAAAAACACTTTCTTATGAGTAGAATGAAATCCACGAGGCAGAACTTTGAAATAAAATATGAGAAGATAGGTTCATATTTGTTTTGAAGTGCATTTTATAAATATGGATACTACCACTGCATTGAGTGTGATACGATATTTCTCCACTCGAGACAAATGAATTTTAAAACTTAACTGTCGAGAGTGGAGACATATCTTGGTGCACGAGATTTGGTGGTAAAATATGTTTCTCTGATGATTTCAAGACGATATGCAGACAGATTTCATCTGCAAAAAGGTGTGGTCTATCTTTGTAACGTCACCAGGCATTGTCGCCTATTTCCGTGACGTCATAATAGGAAATTCAGAGGAAAGCAAGAAAAATTGACGTCATAATTTAATTTTGACCAATGAAGAACTCAGATCAAACAAACCACACGTTGATTAAACAAAAATAATCAACAGGTCATAAAAAGGAAAAATCTATCTGACTGGCAATATCAATTTGAAAATGCTTTTTTTTACAATGAATAACAGTCAAGATAAATCTGTCGATGATGTATTATATCTATCTTAAAATGAACGAGAACTAAAACATATTTCAGAAAACAATGTCAATTTTCACCACAATTGATCATGATTAAATAAAACGTCACATTTCAATCTTTGTACGAACAAAATGCCACAGTTAACAAAATTGCAGTTCCACATCTAGATTTTTTGTTATTTTGTAACTGTTTTTAAGACTAACAACATGTAAGCATATAAGAAACTGCATGAAATTGTAATAATGCAAAGTACATAGATTCTCTTGAATAATATCAAACAGAAAGGAACATTGCTAGATCATTGCAAAGAAATCAATTTTCATGACAACATATGAAAATGTTTTGATTTTTACTTGCGACATTTATCAATATATTACACATGTAGGCAAAACACATATTCTTATATAAAGATTGCATAAGTTCAATTCATATCTCATAAGTTTTCTGAAATAAAAACTTTTTCAAAATGTGGGGACTCCAAGGAGGACAAAATAATCAAAATACATTTAAAGGACGACAAGGTTTCTTGGCAATATTCTACACAATTCGAAAATAAATTACAGACACAGAAACAATCGTGGATCTGCCACCATGTATCTCTATTTAATGCACGTTTAGTTGAATTTTAAAGTTACTATACGGTATGTTTTTTGGGTTTTCTCATTGACAAAGGCCATACGGTTGCCTATAATTGCTACATCCACTTCATTTGAACTTTGATGGATAGTTGTCTCAGTGGCAATGATACCACATTTCCTTATTTTCATACTTATCATTTAATAATGGTTTGGTTTATTTCGACATACTTCTTAATAAATGTCATGTTAATAAATATTTTTTGGAAAAAAGACTTGTTTTACAATGAAAAGCAGGATAAACACTTTAATGGGATTTCTTTGTAGAGATCTAAGAAGGTTTCTTTTTATTCTCAATGTTTCTAGAAATATAGCGTTTAAGATATTGTTGTATTATATAGACATTTCTTCCTTATCGTTGATACCGTGTGCTTAGAGGCCTTTCATTTGTTGTTGTGTTGGTTTAGTTGCTGTCTCATTGACATAAACTTCACATCTCCTTTTATTCATAGTTATAAGTAAAATAAACAATAGTTATATAAATACATCTATGTAATGAAGGTGTAAAATTTAAGAATACTTACTAGCACATTTAAATTTTACTGCTAAGCGTCTTGGTGGAGGTTGGCAACTCTTATTTGACAAAATGTCGATTGGAAGAGTACAATTGTTTTGTCGAAGACAATGGTCATTGAAGTAAGTATCTATATTTGAAAGACATATGCGGTTGTTTTTGGCATCCCGACATGGATATTCACCATAAGTAATCCATTTCCAACTTATTGTTTTGTTTTCAGGACAGGTTAAGTTTTGATATCTTTGTGTAGAATTTTCACATAACAATACATTTAAACTTTCTACAAATAAATAAAATTAAACTTTGTTTTTCTATTATATCTTTTACTAGTTGCTATTTCGACCCATCTACGTCGAATTTCTAAAGTTTGCCATCGGCGGTTAGCATGCGTTTGTGTTACTTATTAATTATGTGTCAACAAGAAGTCATCTGGATAATTCTAAATTTAACGAATTCCTTAATTTTAATCTCCGTCTCTCTCTGTCTCTCTGTCTCTCTCTCTCTCTCTCTCTCACACACACACACACACACACACACACACACACACACACACACACACACACACATACACACACAGATAATTGGTAGTACAGGAAATTAACTAATAAATACACGAAAAAAATATTATTTTTCAAAAACAATTTTCCTCGTCAGCAATAATTTTCCGATGTAAAATATATTTCATCATCAGAAATCCTTAACCTAACCAAAACTGATTATCGTTCATCTAAAAGATAGAGAATGGAAAACGAAAGTGTTTTCATTTTTCGTTTTTGATTTCTCAAAAACCAAAACGAAAAACAAAAGTGTTTTCGTTTTTCGTTTTTGATTTATCTAAAACCAAAACGGAAAACGAAAGTGTTTTCATTTTTCGTTTTTGATTTCTCAAAAACCAAAACGAAAAACAAAAGTGTTTTCGTTTTTCGTTTTTGATTTCTCTTAAACCACAACGGAAAACGAAAGTGTTTTCATTTTTCGTTTTTGATTTCACTAAAGATGAATTTTGAATGTAATTTTAATTATTCTCGTTTTATAATGTACAATGTTTTCCTTTCTTGTTTCACAGTCATTGATAGTAAATAATGCCAATGTAAACACCTCGGTGTTCTTTCAACATAATGTAGACAAAATAGACCGCCTGACTTATGAATTGAACTACGGTGATAAATGAATCAAAGCATTTCAAATTACCTTGTTTATATCTTTACTAAAAATGAAATATTATATTTAAATATTAAAGGAATCATAAATTTAAATTGTACAATATAATATTATATAAGTATGGTACAAATAGATAGATTGATTACAACATCACATTAACAAGGGAGGTTACTACTTTTAAAACTGATAAGAAAACTAGTCCATTCCTTAAAGTATACATGCACAGCGGTTATCAGATCTATAGTATTTAAATCGAAGTTAATGTCGACGGATGCAAAAGTCTTTATCAATCTGAACAATAAGGGTGCGTGATCTTTACTTTTAAGTTTAGAAAGGTTGATCTAAGATGATTAGAATTGATGACCAAGGTCCATCTGCCAGTATTATACGAACATTCAGGACGATAATGTGTTTTGCTTGATCAATTGATTGAAAAACAAATTTGCGCAATTTCACAATTCAAACCGGGATTAGCATTCAATCACTTTGCCATTTGGAGCCTATTCGGTATTAGTTTTGCTTATTTGTGAAAGTTATATGGCGACCTTAACTGGAGGGTGTGGATGGGGGTTTACGGAATAGAGAATAGTGGGCAAAAAATATATATAAAAGAGACAATGAACCAAGACATAAAAAATAGAATAATGAGGTGTTTAAATATGAATAGAACAAAATAATTGGCAAAAAGTAAAAAGAAATAAAGAATAGAGATAAATGGCCTAAAACACTAATTAAAGAATAGAGAAAAATGGTATAACATATCAAAGAATACAGAAATGAAGAACCCCGCATCCAGACCATCGTACTAGTTGCCTAAACCAACGTTGTTTTGTCTCCGGTAGATTGTTATGGTTATCATACGTTTTCTTTTTATTTCTGTGCCTATCAATTAAGACGTGAGCTTTCATAATTTGCCAGCTTATTACATTATAAAAAAAGACTAAGCCGAACATCACCCTGGATTTTTCTCAAGGAGACCTCAGCTACCCACCCTACCACACCATTACCGAAAAGTTAATAAAAAAATGTCTACAGCAATACTTTTGTCCGCACTTGGTGCAAAGGGAAGCTGGGTAGCTGAGGTTTACAGTAGAAAAAATCCAGGGTGTTGTTCGGCTTAGTTTTTTTTCTCTAAAATAGGTCCAAAGTTGAGGTCGGATACCCTACCCAACCCTTCCCGAAAAGATAATAAAAAAAATTCTACGGCAATACTTTTGTCCGCACTAGGTGCAAATGTAAGCTAGAGATCTAGCGCATACTTGATAAAAATTCCTAGTTTAGGTATAGCACGGATTATTTTTTTTAAAGCTAATAAATAATTTCCTTGTCCACCATACTTTGAGTACAAAAAAATAAACCTTTCGTCCAATCATAAGTAAGCGAAATCCACTGGTTCAGAAGTAGAATGTTTTGTCAAAACAGTTTTGTGTGGCAAAAAAAAAAGTTAAAGCACGAGTGAAACTTTCTTTTCTTCTAATGCAGAACAATAGTTACTTTTCATGAACTATTTGACAGGATGCCGAAAATATGGAAAGCTATTTCACACAATAGTGCAATTTTGCCAACATTTAAAATAATTTCATAATTATTTACGATTCCATATACACTCAAAAGTGTTGACTATTTAAAATGTAAAGCGTGCAGCACGCTGTGTGATATATTGAAAGCGATTTCTATTGCATTTTTATAATTAATGAACAAGAAATGAAATTTTAAAATTCATTGAATAATGTCTTTGACTGCTTAATTATTTATTAAAAACTGATAATATAGTGGTTATATATTAATAAAAACATCTGAAGAACGTTTGAATCTTATGCAACATTTGGGTTTATATAAATATCTGAAAACTGGCTGCTAGCGAAGTGGTTGCTAGCGAGTGGCTGCTTGCTTGAGCCTGGTCTTACAAACTCCGCATTTTCATTCACGTCTTCACATTACAGGTTGCAACACCATGCCAAATTATTGGGTTGCAATAAACGTTTAGCAAATTATGCCAATGTGCTTTCCCATGGGATTTTATGCAGAACAATTACCGGAAATCTATGGTAGTTTGCAAAATAATTGTCAAAATCGAAATCTTACTGAACAAAGTAGATACCCACATTAAAAAAGGTTGAGGCATTGAAGGCCAAATAAGTTTTCATATTTCACATTCTTGCGTGTCTAATTGTAATCAGACGGTCATTGTAGAGTTCCAAGAAGTTTACAAATTAATTTAATACAAAGGCAAAAAATAATGTAAGTTTCATTGGTGAAATATTAAATTAATTAAGACTGAGAATGGAAATGAAGAATGTGTCAAAGAGAAAACAACCCAACCAAAGAGCAGACAACAGCCGAAGGCCACCAAATGAATGGGTCTTCAATACAACGGGAAAATCCCGCAACCAGAGGCGGACTTAAGCTGGCCCCTAAATAAAAATGTATACTAGTTCAGTAAAAATGGACGTCACACTAAACTAAAAATAAAAAAAAAAAAACATACAAGACTAACATGGGTCAGAGTCTCCTGACTTGGGACAGGCGCACAAAATGAGGTGGGGTTAAACATGTTTTGTGAGATCTCAACCCTCCCCCTATACCACTATAGCTAGCCAATGTAGAGTAAACAAACACACTTCAATACGCACAGTAAAACTCAGTTTAAAAGAAGTCCGAGTCCGATGTCAGAATAGGTAACAAAAGAAACTAAGCAAAAAGACAATGATTCATAACTTAACAAAGGATTACTAGCAGTAACTGACATACCAGCTCCAGACCTCAATTAAACCGATTGAAAGATTATGTCTTCATCACATGAAAATCAAGCACAATCCCTCCTGTGAGGGGTTTAGTATCATACCGTCATTAAATATATGAGAAGAAAATGACTCGTATAATGCCAACAACTGGTTTTAGAATTAATGTGGTTATTACCGATGCAAAAACCCTATAAGTGAATCAATATTAATACCAAAATATGTCATCTTTAATGAGCCTCCTGATGATTATTTGATTATCTAGGACTGTATTTTAGATTAATTAATTACCAAGTTTAGAAAATAAATTTCTGTGTATAGCAAACATATAAAATTTGGCTTGAAAGACGTCAATGTTTTTCGCCTCGCTCCGCTCGGAAAAATGGTTAAGAATTAAATCCGAAGATTGAACGCGTTTGTCCAGTTATCTTATTAAAATGCATACATATATTAACGTGCTCATACATATAAGTATAACGAAATCAGAGATATATCTTGTAATTAGATTGGTTCGTCTAATTAAGTATTTTTATCTGAAGTAAATTTACTAACTTCTTTAATAGAGGATTTGAACAAGAATGTGTCCATAGTACATGAACGCCCCACTCGCACTATCATTTTCTATGTCCAGTTGACCGTGAATTTGCGGTCAGAACTTTAACTTGGCATTAAAATTAGAAAGATCATAATATATCATAAGGAACATGTGAACTGAGTTTCAAGTTGATTGGACTTCAACTTCATCAAAAACTACCTTGACCAAAAACATTAACCTGAAGCGGAACAGATGGATGAACGGAAGAACGAACGGACGCACAAACCGAAAAACATAATGTCCATAAATGGGACATAAAAAAGTACTGAAATTGAATGAAGGTCTGGTAAATCTAACCATAACAAGCATATCCAAATAAAATTCCCTGAAGTCAAAAACAACTTCCCCCACCTGAGATCTATTTCCACAACTTCTGTAATATTGTATTTATCAATAATAATATAAATAGAAATTGTATGTACGTAAATTAAAAACGATCAGGGTAAACTTATCAATCATTTAAATAAACTTATTTTAAAAGGTTACCAATTGAACACTGTGAATAGATCTTTGAATATTGTTTTAATTGGTATAGATATTAATTTTGTTATCAGTAACTTAAAACCATACTACATATTATTGTTATACACACCAAGGTACTACAATCTGTTGATACCTATTATTTGGCATTGCACAAGGTCATGTCTTTCTCTGACTGTTAATAACGTCTTTACACTAAGTCCATTGGATGTTGGATGTGTACTGATTGATATTTTAGTCTTAGATGCATGATTTTTTTTATTAGTTGTTATTGGCTTTTAAACTAGCCGTCAGTACTGCGAT